TAGTTGATGTTATTTCGAATATTGGCGGAAATACAGGACTCTGGATTGGTATTAGTTTTCTTTCATTAATGGAAATTGTTGAAATGATCTATCGACTTGTACGTTCTCAATTTAAAAATAAATAAAAATTTGACTTATTTTTTCTAAATTATTTACGTGTATTTAATAAAAATCTACCAACGAAATTGATGCATTTATATGATAACACACACATACGTGCCTAACGAAAGATAATGATCTAGGCTGTATTCTGTATTATCAAAACAGTGAGAACAAAAAAAAAGATAATATTTTTCTTGTGAAGTAATTTTATGAGACAATGATAGTTTCGATATTTTTTTACTTGTTATTTTTCATCGGATTTTCTGATGAATTGAATAATGGACTTGGTAGAACACCACAAATGGGTAAGATATTTTAATTGAAATAGATGATTTTAAATAATTTCGATATTTTATTTATTATTGAAGGATGGAATAGTTGGTATGGTTTTCGCTGTAGTGTCAATGAAACCGGAGTTCGACAAACAGCAGATGCTCTCGTAGCTACAGGTCTTGCTGCAGCTGGATATCAATATGGTTTGTTTCTTTTTTGTATTCAAATTATTTTTGTTAATATCTTTAATAGTGAATTTGGATGATTGCTGGCAAGGGAGCCGAGATGCCGAAGGGATAATTCACTCTGATCCAGAAAACTTTCCAACTGGTATTCCAGCTCTTGTTGATTATATTCATTCGAGAAAACTCAAGTTTGGCATCTATTCAGGTACATAAACTAAAATTTTCTGTTTATCTATTTATCGAAATATTAGATAGAGGAAATATGACTTGTGGTGGTAGACCTGGTTCATTGGGTTATGAAACAATAGATGCTAATACATATGCTCTTTGGGGTGTAGACTATTTAAAACTTGATAGTTGTCATACAAATGGAACTCCTCCCGCAGTCGAATATGCAATTATGCGTGATGCATTAAATGCTACTGGAAGGCCTATTTTCTATTCTTTATGTGGTATGAATACAAACTATATTAGTATTCTTTAATAAAGTGTTTTATGTCTATTGTAATAAAGGTGGTGTTACAAAATATGATCTTTGGTTATCTGATGTTGGAAATAGTTGGCGAACAGCAGACGATAGTCAAGATAAT